ATTTATTTATATATAATTCTTATTATTTTATTATCTTGTATACATTTTACTTTGTTTTATCATAATTATTGTTGAATTGTTTGTATAGTTTTTAATGGATATAATTGTTAAAAGAGGGTGGAAATCTACTGTCCACGAAATTTCCTTAATTGTATGATAAATAAATAAATAAAGATGCCCATATATGTGTATATTTTTTATATATAAAACATTTTACTTATGTTTTTTTAATACCTACATTTAAAATATAGGTTTAATTTGATACGTATACTATTTTTACATTATAGAACTAGTAGTATTTAGGAAATATATTATAAGATTAACATAAAATATGTTAACATTAAGATATATAATAAAGTTAATGGAATAATCAAACAAAAGTTTTGGTAAATAAAATACCATTCAGACTAAACTGTAATTACACATCATCTATGAAACTGCTTTCTCATATGACACGAGGCACCAAAACAGATATTTAAATACAGAAAGCTACTCATACGAGATTCGTCAAACCTGTTTTAGACTTCACTAACATAGATTAGTAGGAAAATTTAGATATTAGAAGAGAATCTAAATACGTATAATATTCAATATAGTTGATAACATTAAATCATATCAGATAAAATGGAAAGATCATTCATTAGAATGAACGACAGCCGTTTATGGAAATTGTTTATTGAATGTTTAGATATTGTATCATGGAAAAAACCTCGAGTATAAATAGAACAGATTTTAAAATAAACCGAAATTTTTCATGATAACGATAATACTTTTGTACAAATTAAAAGTTAAAATGTAAGAAGTTTAAATTTCAATGGTATGAAAAACATCTCTAGGGAATTGAAGATAAACGTAAATTACTAAAAACTCAATAAGTTTTTAATAAAATATATGTTTTCTTAATGTTTCTATTAAATTTTGCTTTGTTTGTATAAAGCAACGCGACACCTTCCAGAAATACTTTTTATGGGAACTGGCCCTTATTTAAGTGTTACTCGTACAAACGTGAAAGAAAATTCCAAGTGGACGGTCCGTTGGAGAGACACGACAAATTTACCAGTGTTCAGTGATTTTAACGGAAATGCCTACATGGCCACTGGTAGGCGTTTCTGTTAATTTATTTTAAATACTGTAAATAATAAGAAACCAAGAAAGACTTTATGACTTTTTCTTCCTTAAAAGAGCCTTTCTTCAAGAATCATCGCGTGTTTAACCATGCCCACAATGGCACAGGTAATGAGGGATCGGACAGGAAACTCATAAACATTTCTACAGTTGCTTGCCCGGATTCGATCCCAGGTGCCCAGAGTGGTAGTTTAAATACTTCACAGCCTTTTCCATCTGGCAGGTAATATAAAATATTTTGTTAATATCTGAATAAAGCTGAATTTTGTTTTTAAGAATTAAACGTAATGAATATTCCAAATTATAGTTTCATTCCAAGTAATTCATGATTTTACCATTTATGTTTGGCATTCAGATACTTCTATTGAGATTATTTGAATACATATTGTATCTAGAAAGAAAATGTGGTAGAGGGACAAAATTTAAATGTTTAGTAAATTTTTTTCTTTTTCATATAATAGTCAAACTTTATCATTTGAACGAAATCTTTTAATGGCTTTTAATTGTTTTAAAAATGTTCTAACAATACTAAAACTGACGAGGATGATGACAGTGCTTCCCACTTGCAATTACCACATCTTGTATTGAAGTTAAACTTTCTTATTCAGCAGATTAAATAAATATCTACCAAACTAATTCGTTAATAGTCTTAATCTTTTCTTGTGGACTTAATTATTTTTCTATTAATCATTAATCAACTTCATATGAAAAGATAAGAAACGCTGGTGGTTTGATATTGCCATATCTTGTTTGTTTAGAAGAATATAAAAAGTTGTAAATGTGCTTTTAGATGAAATTTACATAAACCATTCTAAATCATAAAGAATGCCATTTATTGGTACATCTGCCATCTCATTGTGCTATCTCTACTAAACAACTCAGTGAATTGGAAACCCTGTAGATTTTTAAAGCCTATCAACTTGCAGAATTTATTAGTTATAAAGAAGAAAAATGTATTTCTCATGCATGGCAAGTACATTTTGATAAACATTTATAATTTTAGTACATCGTTCTTATACACACATCTGATTTGCGTTTTTGAATTTGAAATACACCGTGTTCTTCGGACGTTTCCATTTTTTCAAATAATACCTGAAGAAGCTCGAAAACGTTTGTTTTATAGAGAAATAAAGCTGCCGGACTAGATAAAGGTACCGTGGTTATTTATCTAATTGCTGATGTTGATGATATACCAATATTTAGCTATATTAGACTAATATTAGATATACTGTATATATATTTGTTTTTTACATATAGTTAAGTAGCTGACTCTTTCTTTGTAAATTAAATGTATTTAGTGTTGATACTTTATAAATTTGAGTTTAATTTAAACATATACAATGTACTGTACAGTACCAGAATATGACATCATCTTAACGTATGTTTTCAATCTAAACTGAGCTTGAAAGATGTAATGTGTGACGTTATACAGTCGGGTATCTGGCCTACATTACAAAAATATACATTTTGATATCAAAATTATAACGATATGAGCTTGCAAAATATTGACATACAGTTCGATTCTTATTTTTCCAAATGATAAAAAGTTATATTTATGTACTGTACACTTATAAACATAAAAAATAAGTAAGTTTTTAGATTGCTAAACGACTAATTGCTAAACGACTAAAACGTCATTTTATTAGGAATAAAATATTAAGTTTTAGAAATAAATATTATGTTATCTTTTTAAGTCTATTTGCCAAGGAAACAATATTTTTCGTAAATAACAAAAAAACTTTTTTTCAAATTTTATTGCATGACAAATTATTTAAAGAAATTTTTAAAATTATTCATCAAAATTATAAATAATGAACTTTACAGATTAAAAGTAATGAAAATTTTTATAACATTTAATTCCTAAAGAAAAAAT